TCAGGATTCTGTCGCTATACAGATGAGATGATTGTCGCAATGCAAAATCTCTGCACAAGGGTCTGTATTGGATTAGAAATTTATCGGCGAGTGCGGCCTCTATGCTTTTGGCCATCGGACCAGACCCGTTATCAAACGAACGTTTTATTATTTGCACTTGAGAGTTCTTCAATGGATAGCCATCTTAATTCCTTGATTGCCTGTGTCCTAATGTTCCTTATGAATTCACACCAATGTAATAATCCTAGCAGTGAGCTGAAATCGGCTATTGGCCAATAAAACCCTGTTTAAGTCCTCTTATAGGTTATGGAGAATGTAGTTGAGTTGACGACTTAGTTTGAATTATTGTTAAAGGCGATTGCAGGGCTAGAATTCGTTGATTTGCTTACCAACCGTAATAAATTCAGTCCAAAAGCAACCACAAATTTGAACCGGCTTCAGATAAATATCGCTGTTTAGACGACTAGATAAGTGAAGACTACCTGCCAGGTTTGTTGTTCATCATGGTTTCATCATAATATTTTAAAATCATATCGATTAGTGTTTTGAATTCCTATATGGACTGCTAGCTAGAATCAATTAGCAAATTAGCGACGAGGTTTTCTCTAGGTCAAGCTACAAGGCCAAGATTTGGTTCTGTAACCACTGCTTGAAAAGCAATTTAGCCCGATACAGTCTTGCAATTTCTGACAAAGTTTATTAATGTAGATTTAGAGGATCTGTGTAGAGACAAGTGCAATTAACTAGCAAGACGAAATCTACCTCCTTGTGTGGTCTAATAAGACCATGTGAACCTAAGTGCACGCTACAACGTGTCTTACAAGCAAAGCACATGGATCATATGGGTAGGCCATACTGTAAATAGATTGACAGGGAAGCAAGATAGCCAGGTTTCCTGCCCAAAAAGACGTCTTTGTATACGTTATGGAGTCATACAGTCATTTTTTATAAGAAACTGGCTATAAGAAACGAGTACCGGACAGTCAGAAAAAATTAAGAAACTTCAGTAGTCGAAGCAAAAAAATTAAGAAACTATTAAATCGTGATAAAACTGAGAACAACGAAATTTTGTAAAATCCAAGCACATGATTGCTCTGTTGGCCTAGAACTTAAGACACAAGGGATAGAAATATACTTCCCACATCTAGATACAGCATCAGAACGGAAGCGAATCTCTTGACGTGAAAAAAAGGTCACGAATATTTCATAACATCATTTATGACATCATACGTACGAAACTCTTAAGAAACAATGAGTATTGAAATTTCCAGAACATTCAGAAACTGGAGTACTCAACATCGACCGCTGTTTCTTATAAAAAATGAGTGTATCATCAAAGTGGTTACCATTTTGAGCTGGGGATGAATGAGTTTACTAGGACATGTCACAATTTATTTTACTCCTTGGGGCACATCGGCTTAAACAATATTTTGGAATTGCATTGATTCAATATTTATTTATTTATATTAGACACAATGTAACCAAATCACAGCCAGATGCAGTCAAGTAATCTTTTCTATTATGCTCAAAGTACGATCTGATAAAGATTTGCCATAATCAATGAATGTGTGGTACGCTGTTTTAAAATAACAGTCCGACCTTTTGATATTCAGATATTCAGTACAAACGTGGTCGCTGTAATGTTAAGTCGGCAGCAAGGTGCCCTTTCATCAGTTACAGTATTCAGCGACGCAGAAAAACTGAATTGTGTTTCCACGCCAATATTATTTTCAAGTAGAAAATCCCCAGATAATCTTGTTTATGCAGCAAAACCCAGATTATTCAAAAATCAATGAGGCAATGGTCTGACAATTAGTCCTATGCCTCTTTCCTGTAAAAGACCCTCTGTTTCTCTTTATTCAACCGTGTTATTCATTACACTTCAATTTCCTGATTCATCTAGGGGTAATGTATATCTGATTTAACAGTCTCTTCCATTTTGAGGGAGTATTAAACGGATTGCTAAGCGTTTGCAATAATTAAAACAGCAAAGGTCGTTGATTGGACGTGGCTTTTCTCTATATAGACGAACGGACTAAGTCTGATTGTAACTGTAAACTTAATCGGATCAGGACAATCAAACCGTACAACTATAAAGAGAAATGCACCTAGCGTCCATAAATGGCAGTCTGTCCCTCTTGCGAATAGCCGATGTAAACGAAGTGGTTTGTCTAATCCACAATCGCTGATTAGCAGCTATCGCTAATAATTCATCAATACCAATCAAGCATGAACTTTTCTCAATGAAAATAGAAACGAGCACAATAGGGGACAGACGGTAATAATCAAAAATACCATCTATAGAGTTTGCCTATTCATAATACATTGCAGCACATGCTCTGCTCCAGACAGAAATATGATTTTTATCAGCATGAATCACATTTTCCTTAATCTAATTGGTTCTTCATTGATATATCCCCCTTGACCAATCAAATTGAGCACCATATTTCTGGTAGCAAGAGAATACTAATAAACAAAGTTAGTTATATGTGAAGCAGGCTGAGGCAAGCCCACAGAACAAGGCATAAAAAGCGGAAGACATTTATAATGAATTGCTAGTATTATTATCACTGATCTCAGAAATCAGTTGCGTCGCTTCTCTACAAGACAACCAAATTTAAGTATGTTTTTTTTCTGGGTATGTTTTAGTCTTTCAGTACAAGCTTTCACACTCTACACTTGCTAATTGCACGTAGGATTGTTTCTTTGTGTACTTCAAGGAATCTTGTTTGTAATAAGTTTATTCTAAACCTTGATTTTGGATTCTAAGCCCTGAAGATTTGGGGATTTTTTTCAAAAGGATTATCTTCAGTTTCTACTAATTCTTTTGTAACTGTCATTTTATTTCGATGTTCTATGGAGATTTTTGTAGACGTTTTGAGAAATTTTGTCCTGAAAAAGGCACTGCAGTCTGAATTTCATATCAATATCTTTGATAGTTACAAAAGGCCGAGAGCAAGGGTACTTTTATGAAATGGGAAGTGTCCTTTTTCATGTTTATATTTCCTAATGCTTTTCGTTGTATTTTGGGTCTGAAAGTACGTGGAAACCTCCAGAGTGATTTAGGTTCTCAATTGAATTGAATTCGATCAGGATTGAATCGATTTTGAATACGATTTGGTTTGGGTCACGATGCATTTAGCTGGAATTGGAGACGGGCCACTTAAGAATGGCCCGTCTGGTGCCGTGGAGGGTGGCTCCCCCCTCCTAAACATTTAGATATTGCCTACACCACAGCCCCCCTTCCTAAACTTTTAGAATGACAACCCCTGCGAAATGAACTAACTATGCCTACTTATACCAAAGGTTGAAAGACGTACGCAAAATATAATCGTGAGATCCCAATTTATCAAAAGCCGTGAAAAGCAATCCGTTAAGGACAGCATACACTCCATACCATTCTCAAATTAAGAACCCAACTTCAAATGCTTCGTTGTTCTATGCTGTGCGTGACAGTTTTGTTTTCATTGCAGCTTTCCTCTTTAGATACATAACTATCAAAGATTAAAACTTTAAAACTTCCGCAGAAATTCCAAAGCTTGCTTGTTGTTATTGTTTCATAGACTTAACAACGGAGCCACTAATGCTCTGTTTTCAACTATCTAATGTTGTCTTTGGATTGCCCCAATTGCATTGAAGTAGGGTATTCTTGGCAGTGGTGGCAGATGACACGTAACAAGTTTCCGTGTATTTAATAGAACTTCCCTCCAGTCGAGGCAGAGCGGAAAACGAGGTCAGAGCTGCGATTTCGAAGCCTGTTAGCAAGGACAATGCTTTCTTGCATGAGAGGCAAAATTCTTAACTCAACAGTTTGATAAAAGCAGAATTCTAAAGTAAATTTTGCTTCTTAGATTGGAGAATTGCTTATATAATCTTTGGGTACATAAGTGGTAAACGGTGTTTATTTAGGCACGGCTACTTCTGTTTCGCAGTTTATAAAGAATTTGATTCCCAGTATTTCTAATTTAGGCTTTAAGAAGGATATTCATGAAAGATTATTCACATCTTCCGTTAAACATATCTAGTAGTAACCTGGAAGGAAGTGAAAATTTTTAAAACCAAAAATTGATTGCAGTTCTACCATACAATCACTTAATTTCGGGCAAAGCAGAGTTTGACAATGCCTAGAACTGGAAGCTTTACAAATGATACGAAACAGGGTTGGCAATTCTAGCGAGTAAAACCTAGTAACCATTTGACAAAAGGGTTCATATTTGTATTGGTTCATTGGTCAATGTTTCCTTTGCCTGTTTTGAAAGACATTCTATACAAACCAAACTAGAAAGTGCCGATAGTTTGCCAAACATGGCTCTAAACGCCAAAGAGTACAAAATAAGTCCATATTGTCGGTAACTTCAAGTGAGCTCCTTCTTTATAATCCCTCTTTTGTAGATTTATTTGGTTACCTTTTATTCTGATACACTTAAACATTGCATTGTCTGCGTGTATATTTCCTTTTTTACTGTTAATTCAAAATTATTTCTTTAAACTTGAGATAAACCCTTCGCAAAGAGTAAGGCCGTAGTACAGTACTATTTATTTTCGTTTACTTTTCTTGCTAATAAAATGTTTAAATAGCCACAAATTATATTAAGATTCTCCTTAAAGTTCTCTTATTAAGATCTTTTTTATTTCAAAGCCAAAGATACTGGGTCTTTGGCTTTAGTGATAAAAGCTTCCGTTATTGTCTACCATTTCCTTATATTTGTTATTCATTATGACGATTTTGGCAGTGATACGATTTCGTAGATAGAATTCGCATCCAATTTTCTTCTCATACCTTAAACGAGATACTTCCAATTGGATGTTTGGCCTAATTTTATTCTTTTCTTGTTGTAAGATATTGCTAACGTATATTATTTGGAACTAGCCTGTTTGTTGTAGGGCGGGAAAACTAATGATGAAAGAGGTAATCCGTGACAGGAACTTCAATAAAATTTAGCTTGTACTGCTTTGTATTTTTAAGTCAGTTTTTGATAAAATTAATTTTTAATTTCAAGGTGATGAAGAAGACTTTGATGTGTTAAAAGACCTCTCAGATTCTGGGAAAACAACGGAAGAAGTTTTACAAGAATTAATGGAAAAGATATCAACAATGTCAAAGCCTTCATCTGCTCTTAGGGGTTTTTTGAAACGCATTTCTGAGGAGGTGACAAGCGATAACAGTATAGAGCAGAGCCTTAACCAAAGTTTTCCTGCAGATAATGACGAAAACGAGGGCGAAAGCAATAACAACACAGTTGTGGATCCCAAGAAAGTCGGTCTAAACGATGCATGCAAGATAGTTGTAGAACACGAAAGCGATACTGAATGCAACATCCACCAAAGTGAAGTGATCGCTAAAGATGGAGATAATGGCCAGACTGAAAGGAGAATAAGCTCAATTTCAGCTGTCAGCTCACTTCCTACGTCCCCTAGTGCCACTAACTACGACTCAGGATTCAGTGAGTTGACGAAAAATCTTACATACACGAGAAAAGAAAATCTTGCCTCATTTACGTCAGACGACACGAGAAAGGAGAACATGGAACGGAGGTTCAAAGAAGCCTTTGCTAAATGTAGTACTGGATTCGATAGCGAAACAAGCACTGACTGGAGCCCATGTTCTACCTTATCCCATACTGAAAAAGCATTCCCTCCTAAGTCAGCCCTTAAACAGTCACCCTTTCAAAGAGTTAGCCCAAGGCGACGTAGCACGGGCGCAACTACTTCAAAACCTCAATCTAGAATGCAACCAGGCAACACGCACAGTTGCCCAAACTTCGATAGAAGTAACCTCAATCCACTACAAGATTCTTACAATCGATACACGAGATCTGAGGTTGAAGCGATTCGCAAATTTTTGTCACTGACAAGTCTATACTTTGGGTCAAACGGCAATGCTAAGGACGTGCCAAATGCAACCTATGACGAGGTAAATTTCTGTCTTTTTATTTATTTCTCAATCATGGCAGAACCTCAGATTTTTGTAAACATTTGGTTTACCCCTCACTCAAAAACTTTAACATTGTTGATGGACGTTCATACTTACTGTAATTCATTGAAAATCATTTGGATACAATAAGATAGTGGAAATACCTCAGCGATTTCGTAGAGATCAATCTATGCTTAATGCCCAAATAAGGTCCATTTATACTACGATATCGTCCAATTTGATGTATCGCTTGAGTTGTTCCTCTAGACTCATCTCAATGACAGGCGATCGCTTATGTTTTATCCCTGTTCGTGCTTATGTAAGCTCTTTTAAGTCTTGCTCATGCCATGTTTTCTTCAAAAGACCAATACAAGATTAGACGTGGCCCTCAAAAATCTGTTATTTACACATAAAGAAGAAATTGAAAATTACTGTTTACTGGTCTGTCAAAAAGTGTTCGATGCTGTAAAGACAGAGCTGTTCACGATATTTAGAGTATAGAACAGGGCGACTCTTAGTTGCTACTTTGAGTTTTACGCTTAGTGCGATCATCATAATGAACTGAATGGTTTCTGAAATATGAAAATGTTAGGATGTTAACTGTAATTGACGAGCCTTGAGTTGCTCCTTTTTATATCACATCATCGAAAGTAAATGATCATTATATTCACTAGACTATTCTGTATCTAAGATAAGAAGAAAACTTAATATACTCAGTCTACTCAACGAGGAACTATACGTGTTAACTTTTTAAAACGATGTTTGGGCCTTGTTGTTGATTCGTTTTTAGCCAATAAACCATTAATTTCACTGCACGCCCCCAATCAGTGAAAATGGGCGTGCTTTTATATAGACTCAAATCAGACCTAAATTGGATCAAATTCCACGATCTAAACCCAATGAATGGGTGGTTTTCCAAGCTGTCAAGTTATCTACACTGTCAGTATGAAATAGAACATTAGTTGGTCTTTTTTTTAAAACATTGTAAAACCTCTTCCTTCCGCATTAAAGCCAATAATCTTGCCTTCTCCCATTCACAGCATTTTTGTTTTTCTTCCATAAGAAATAACCTTGTTATCTTCGTCTTCGTTTTGCCCAGGCTGCTCTCTACATCAGACTCGCTACCCACACCCAACTCAATCCCGCTTTCCCTTGCTAATGAAATTTGCTGAGTATTTCTACTATTAAGGTTAATCGCTTTGATAAAGCTTATCGTTGCACCTAAACTATCTTTGTACCCTCTTTGATTTACATTAAGTATCAAAAAATCCGGTGCCAAAAATTTCGATGGATTGATTTTCGGTGGAAAAAATTTCGGTTACATTTTTGAAATTTCGGTGAGAATTCGTAAAAATTTCGGTGGAAAGAAAATATTTCCGTGAGTATAGAAATGAAACACTTTCTGTAAGTTATTTCTATCTTCAGCATTTAATTATCTGGAACGCAATCACAAAGTTACAAAAATCTCATATTTTGGTGTCAGCCCAAAACAGGGAACGGAAGCGTAGGCAAGAATATCAAAATTTCTTATCTAGAGTAGATCTGTTAATTTAAGTTTTTATAAACAATGAAGGAAATTAATTGTAAGTGTTGACCGTTCGCAAAATTTTCAATCGCCAGTCGCAACAAGGGGTTTAGAAATTCTGATCAATTTTTAGTTAAAAATTGAGGCGTCTAAAATGGAACCGATGGAGCGTTTAAAAAAATTAATTGAGAGGAATTATAAAGAGCCAGTAGAAGCATCAGGTCAGCCCATAGAGAACTCAAATTTCTTGAATGTATAGGGCGAAAAAGAAGAAAATGAAAGTGAGCTAGATATCTTATTATTTGTTGATGATGAAGGAGAACCAGAAACTGAAAACTGATATTTATTGGATGTATCATAATACTTAAACAATATCAAGGAATGAATTTTTGTCATTTTGAAAGTCGTTCGGTGTAAAACGAGATTTTGTTAATGTTTGAAAATTTCGCTAAGAAAAATCGGTGGGATTAATTTTCGGTTACCGTGCTTTATCAAAAATAAATCGCACCGAAATGTTTGGTACTTAATGTATTTCGAAAAAAGTCAGTATTATACGCTTTAGGGAATGAAATGATGACACCTACAATTTCCTTCAATAATACAATAAAACAAATTTTCATCAAATTAATTTTAATCTAAAAAGCAAGGAGCCCGCTTACCAGTATTCTTTTCATTTCAGTATTATAAAACAAGTAGTTTTTTTGTCGATCAGTATCTTTTGGAATAGTGCCCTTTTTATAACTGTTTGAAAAGTGTCCTTTCCTGAGACATTCCAGCTGTCTACTCAAAAAGTACCCCTTCCTACATGTGCCCTTCCAACCTTGTAATGTTTGCGAAGTCTACATTGAAAGCCAATACATTATAATATCAATCTGAATTTATTTGAATACGATATCGTTTAAACTTTAGATCCAGAAAGCCTAGTCTTAAGTTTTCTGTATGAGCATCAAAATGCCAGCTCGGACTATTTTTTTATGTTATTGGACATCCTTAGACAAAATTAATGGATTCTCATGGTTATTCTTGATTTTTTTAAGCTCATTAAAAGAGGCGATATTGAAATCATTCACACAATAATACAGCGGCAAAGAGATGACCTTGAGCGGCAGAGAAGAAAACAAGACGATCTGTATGCGCATCTCGGAGACCTCTTGTTGCAGCTAGTGAGTCTTAAGGAGGAGCACCTCTCATCAACTCAAAAACAAACAAAAGCTTTAGTTCTTTTAAAAAAGCAGCTAGATATTCAGAAAAAGGAGCAATCGCGAGCACAGGAGACGATCAAAGAGCAACTCAAGACTCTGGGGGAGCAGTTCTCATCCAGCTTGACTCTAGATCTTCCTCCGCAGGGGCACCTCTCGCAGAAAGACAGACAAACACCAATTCCACGCTCTCCAACAAATAAACACACGGGACAAATAATATGGAAAATCACTGGGATAACAAGAAAGGTCACGAGAATACACGCTGGAGCTTCAGATAATGTCTCTGTCAGCGAACCGTTTTACAGTAGCTCGTATGGCTATAAAATGGCTGCCTGGGTGTACCTAAATGGAAGAGCTGACTTTCGAGGTAAAGGTATCTCAGTTTACGTTTGCCCTCTTTGCGGTGAATACGACGCCATCTTGCCGTGGCCAGTAAAGCCAGTTTATACCTTCACTTTGATTGATCAGAACCCAGATCCCGAATTGCGTCGCAACCATACCAAAGTTAGGAACGTTGTCGAAATATCGAAGAAAGGCGATACAGCACTGTCAAACAAAGGAGGCATTCCAAGGCCACAGCATGGAAGAAAGTCATTTATAATTGGTTTCGACGATTTCATTTCTCAGGCTGAACTCGCTAGTAGTAAATACATTTTAGATGATACGATGTTCCTCAAGGTTGAGGCTCAAATAATTAACTGATAAGTTGTTGAATTCTGAAATGTTTCAAGGGAACGCTTAGTGCTGGTTGGGAAATAATGTCCGTTTGTGTCTTGAAGTCGTTTGGGTTACTGCTACGCAGAAATCTTTTGTAAAGTTAATAGAATTAGTTATGAACGGTAAAAATGTTAATGTACCTCAAAAAATGTTGTCATACTTGTCTTGGAGGAGGCGCCTGGAGCAGGATAGAGGCACGTCTCCCGTTGCCTATACGTTGCCTCGAATGCTATTTGAGAGTTGAAAAATTTCAGTATTGTTTTGACCTAATTCATGTCTAATTTTACTGATAAAATGATAATTGCATAATTCAGACTATTTGCCCACCCGAAATCATTGTTCTTTCTGTGTCCCATTGTTGCAATCAGTGAGCCGAGGGGTAGCGCATAAAAATCACGTATCAGGGTTTCGTCTTTTGCTAAGTTGGCTGATATTTATGTAAATACTTCAAGACATGGTCTGGAATGAAATTACTGTAATTTTTGTAATATTGTTGTAGCTTAAATGAATCTGTAATTTTTAAATCTTTGTTTCGCCATTACATGACAAAGAATCTTTTGTGACTAAATTCCATGGCGTCATACTTTCTTGCAATAGTGTCATACTGATAAAATTTAAAGACGATATTCCAGGGAAAAGGAAAGAGAGTACTAAAGAATAAAATCCAACTTTTGCAATTTACCAGTGGAAAATAAGAAAAGTTGGTCAATGTACGACAAAAGTTTTGAGTTTTGTTTGCCAAGGCTTAAACATTGCATTGACAGTTTAAAATGAGTAGCATATTACAGTGTCTTTATCAAAAGTAAATGTCTTTATCAAAAGCACATCTCTATTTGAAATTTCAAAAATTCATGAAAACGCAGTGGAAATAAAAAGTTTCCGTTAAAAAATGAGAGAAAATGAATACCTCTGCCACCCGAACTGGCTATACATCTTGTTGCATAAAGTAAAACGGAATTATTCCAAGCTGCAAAAATGCGCATCAGCGTACAAGTGCGGTGAGTATTCACCAGTCGGTTGCTTAAAAAGAAGCCATGGTTAACTGCAATGGAATTGCATGTGAAGGAAAATGATGAAGGAAAAAGTCGAAAAGCTCCATTGACAATTTTATCAAAATACTACATCCAAAATCCCAATATTATTTGGCGGTTTGTTTACTAAAATAAACATTGATAAAATATAAATAAAATATCGCGTGCACAGAAAAGTAAATGACTTTTATAACGAGAAAAATAATGAAATTCTTCTGAAAATAAACCTAAAAATTTGCTTCAGTTTCTGTCTCACAAACGAGGTAAAGAGTTTTTGTCAATGGGCAGGAAAATTTGTATTTACATTCCTGCTGTACACATTGACAAGATGGCAACTTTAATGCTAACTTGAATACCAAATTTAGGTCGTTTATGGAAATCACAGCTTTATAATCGCTGTTATTGCCTTTGGTACTGATACTGCTTATCAATTAATGCATTGCGGATGTGTTATTCTTGAAACGAGGTTGGGTATTGTAAATTGTAGTTGCAATTCTTAAATACCACGTGTTTAGTTGTAGGCCAGAAAGAACTGATAATCGAATAAATCTTTAGGTAAAAAGAGGAAGAAAGGACGTTTTCCTACTGGAAAAGGTAATAAGTAATAAAGCGAGCTAAAATTTATACTTTTTACTACACAATCAGTTACACTTCTTATATGCTTCTTCGATATGCTTTGCAAAAATCTTCGTAAAACAAAGTATATTCAACTTTCGTAAGCAAATGAGGAGTATACAAAGTTCGAATCCGCAGCTTAAAATGAAGCCAGCCAGCTGATAAAAGATCGTCAACGATGCAATTCTATTGGTTGGTTGATGGACTGAACAGTAAAGACAGCAAGTTGTATCCTGGAAAAGAAGATTTATACAAATTATTGAAAAGAGGGGATCTCATCAACTGCCTGTGGAGTTCTTACCAGGGAGGGGCTATTTTATTGATTTATTCAGCATAAACTATACAAGTTAATTTGTTGAATATTTTGATTTAGCCTCGTTTGGGGTAAAAAACGGCGTGGGTAAAAATCGTCGAAGATGAGAGTTGGAAATAAGTTGTTTTATTAGGATTGTGAACATTGTGAGTTTGTGTATCGGGAAAAATCGGTACAAAACTATTCCCTTAAATTTTCCTTAAATTTCTATTCCAATCCTATCAATACTTGAAGCAAAGAATTTCTGCAAAGATTACTAATTTCCAGACGTTTTACTTTGCCCAATATCTTTAGCTCGAGATTTTCATCGCATTATAGCTATATTTCTTAAGCATTGGCCACTGAAATTTTTCCGTATCTTATTTCTGTGTTTTCAACCAGCCCCAATTTTCTTCCAATCTCTGTTTATCTTTTCATTTCAATAACCGCCTGTCTAAAGCCTTTTTGCAAAAATTCTTTCAAAAAATGAACGATTTTTGATCAATGATAAAAGACAGAAAAACATTTTCATCACGAACATTTCTATTTTTAGGGAGATATCAGTAATACACGGTTGTCTATTAATTAAGGTATTATTTTAAAGCATAAATGAACGCTCAAAGACAAGGTTCATAACTTCGAAAATAGAAACTTAAGAACCAGCTTGAAGATTTCAGTTGAGAAACAGAAGAGATTTTAAATGACATTCTAAATGTATGAAATGCCTCAAAAGGTCTACTAAAAGCTTGCCTATCCATGGAAATATATCTAGATATTTAAATAGCGGAAGCTATTTGGATACTTATAATGCTAATCACTCAAACAAACTTACGTAGAATTAATTGATGACATAGTAGCTTCTCTCTCAACAACCACGTGGTTACAAGCTACGATTGCCTGTGTTTACTTAAACTCAAGTCCAAAGAACGCAAGATAGTGATTCAAGAAAGAGAGTTTGCAAATAGCAGGAAGACATATTCCCGACCATCTATTAAAGCTTATTCGATTATCTTATTCGTTCAAGATTTTCAAAAAACTTACCAACTTTGAAGGGACCTTTGTGTACAGTCAATGGCATAACCTGGACTACTTTCTCTTCTTTAACTCCCCTAAAAAGGAAATTGAAGATAGAATTTACATAATAGTTATGTTACTAAGGAATATTATACAAGCATAACAAATCACAACGTCTTATGTGAGTTACAAAAACGGTCATTAAAGAACATACTCGTCTTTCTATTTGGATCAGTAAATTTGTAAAATGAGAAATTCAAAGCAATAACTGATAAGTAGGAGGTTGAAGATTGGAAATGCCTATAAATCCCGACTTATGGACTGAACGAAAAAATGGAGAAATCAGGTCATCAAGATGTCGACAGAAATAATTCTAAACATCCGTATATATCAAGTTACGTTTTACATACTATTTACAGAGAAAATAAAAAGTCCTTGAGAGTATATTCCTTACAACGATTGGGATTGGCTCTAAAAAATATGGATTATAGCATGAAGGCTTTAAAATAGAAAAATATGACCCGTGCATTAGGATCATAGCTATGATACAATTGAACTGCATTTGTCTGCTCAAACTTTCATTGCAGGAAAACGGCCTACAAAATGTAACAATATTCCAATACCAAAAGCTCCTTACGACTTTCTCCGTAAAAAGGTAAACATTTAGGGGAAAAAGCTTTTCAACTGTATGAAAAATAATTAAATCAGCATGTACGTACTTCAGACACTTTTTATAGCACAAGTATGGTACACCCGTAAACAAACACAAAGGGAAGCAAACAATCCAGCAGGCGATTTGCGGTGTAGTTTGGCAAGTGAAGTTAGTATCAGCCCAATTCGGAGCACCAACACCATGAGTTAGGAATATATCGCAACCCCAAACTTGCGTAAGTCGGTTATCTTCACCAGAAGCATGCACATTGGCATTGTAATATACTTTCACAGACTCGCTGAAAGATATCTAAAAAGACAAGGCAACCATTACCCATAGGAACATGTATTAAGTGATGAATCAGATTGCAGCTATAAAATAAAGCTTGACAGGAGATTAAAAGTTTATTAAGCATCTCTTCCTTACCTAGTGGCGTAACGGAGCAGTGTGGGGCCCTTAGTGAAAGTAGTCTTTCGGGGCTCCTATACTGAACTAAACTTGAGTCAAGTTTTAGAGCCTAAGAACTCTCCCTTTGGGATTTTCCCGTAAAACCCAAAGAAATAGCATATGACAACAAATGAAAAGATATTTTGCTGTTTAAGATCTTTCTAATGATCTTCATGTAAGCTTTTCCTGGATTTCCATGCAGCGTATCAAATGCAGCTTGAACGTGCATTTGAAAACATGTCTAGATATATTGAGATTAACATCTTCAAACTATTTCATTGAGGAAATCAATTAGACTTTAAATATCTGTTATATTCACACACAATAAATACAACATTTTATTACGATATAGATGTGCATTAGAGGGAGACCTAATTGACATGCTATATCTTACATCATTCGCCCATTTCAATGATGCTGTGAATGCTATTAACAAACACATGCTTCTATCAAAAACCCGTATTTTCGAGAAACTTCTTGGGAGCCTCTCGGGGCCAAAATGCTTGGGGGGTCTTACTTTTGTGTTAAAAGGTGCACACCGTGTGTTATGAAGCCTGTCTTTGCCAAACCCCACTTGTTCCCTTTTTCAACACCAATATCGTAAAACAGTTCCCTTTCCACTACCCTTAGGCCCAGGTCAAACGTTGCTGTTCTCTTGTGCCTATTCTTATAAATTAAGTGCGACAGTAGAATGATACAAGCGCGATGTAGCTCCTAATCATGTCGCTTCTGCTTCATTTAGGAACCTTAATTCCTAGTATGGCTGTATGACCGGCCCTCTCAGTAAATCCACTTCAAGCTGAACATCTGGCTATTCTTGGCATTACTTGTTATATTGGAGACAAAACTAAGTTGTTATATTTATCAAGCAGACATGTCTGAGTAGAAATACATCTAGACATGATTGACTGCCACAGACTGAGAATAAATACCACTGCAGACATGAGATTGGAAACATACCATAACAGTTTTTCCCCAACATATATCATCAATATAACTTGAAATTTTTTTGCTTGCCATCTTCTTTAAAAATCAACTTCGGACACTTGAAATTATAAACAGTATCTTGCTAGAAATTTTTCCCAAGTTATCATTGACCCGATAGAAATCATTAGCCAGATACACACTGCAAAGTGTATTAGAAAACAAATTTAACCAAGGACATGTTTAAAATACAACAGATGGAATACAAACCGTTATTCTGAAATTTTTTCCCTCGTCTAACAGCTGCTCTGCTATAGAAAAGGCTCTATTAAGCATTCCATTAATTTCAGCGTTTCCGGTGTTGACAAGAACAATATACTCGTGCCTTAAATATGACACATTGCTTTCTGGGTCTGTTGTGTCGTCATAAGGTTTCTGGCATTTGGCTGTAGTAAACAGAGGCCTTCGCATTATAGTATCTTGTGCAGCTGCAAGGTCTTCTCTACTGTTCAACTGTAAAATGATAAACAAGTTAATCACAAAAACAGTCAATCTATAATTTGGTATGGGAAAACCATTCAACTGTCTAAATACAACAATAACTGCATTTGAAAAACATAATCTACATTCTGTCATAACATACTACTCGCAGCATGATTAGCCTCTGAATTTAAGAATGATGTAAAATATTCTTTAGCAAAAAGGTTTTTTAAAGAAGTTTTGCTCTTTTTTCAGTCCAGCTCCACCCTTTTATATATTGCAATTGAATCTCTTCAACCAACGGGTTGTTGATTTTATTAAAGTTGCAAATAATGTATGTATAGGCCTTAGTGGATCAAGCTTCGTTGCAAGTAGGGCTTTCAAATTAAGAGAGATATCAAAAATATTTTTTGTTTTCTTCAAACCAAATTTTCTTGTCATTTTTTAATGAAAAAAGGGCAACATTGGCTAAGGTTCAAATACAACAGGTAAAAGAGGGAAGCTGTCTTGTAATAACAAGGAAGAATGGAGGCAAAAGACCAGGATAAATAAAGATGGCTTAATATGAACTGTGTTTATGCTTTTCATGTATAAAACAGAATGGTTTCAAGTTTCTACTCTGAGGCTCAAACTTGATGATCTCTTTTATATATAAACATATATTTATAATCAGAGGACAAAATTATAAAATCAGGAAAATCTGATTTATACACAGTTATCAAAAGATTTATCAAAAGATAGTGACAAGGCACTAAAATGGTTTTATTTTTAACTGTGCCAGCTAATTATTTCTCTAAAGAATAAAAATATTCCCTTTTCAGCAATTTCTCTGAATTCAAAATCCCAACCCTTATTCTCCATATGGAAATAAGCTCATTTTTGTAGATCTTAGCCAGTATTGATTCTATGCAGGGATTGCACTATGGGGTGTCATGGGGGGCAGCTGCCCACTCCCACAAGTTCCCAATGACACCCCATCGGCAGCCCAATATAAGAAAAGAAAAAGAACTGTCTGCACTTTGAAACTGTCTAAATTAAAGTTCAGGCTGGCTTTTTGACTTTCAGTAAAACCATTAAAAGCCATTGAAACTATGAGGTTGGGTTGTTCTTAATTTTATCTTAGATCATAAGGGTGTTAGCAGTGCAATTGCTAAATATTGTCCTTAAGGGGGATGTTCAGGTAATTAAAGGTTCTAGCAAAAAATGTCGCCCAACTCAATGATATATTAGGAATCTAGGCTTTATAGGGGCCTTATAAAGTAATTAATTCAATCTTTAAGAATGGAGTTACTCGAACATATCAAAAGTATGTCAAGAATAGTGAAACATTTAAAACAACTGGAAGAAAATGGCTCCTAGTCTCTTCTGGTGTATTGCCCCAGTTGCTTGTGATTTAAATCCATACCCATTTTCACTGTCAACAAGATATTTCCAAGATATTCAGTCAAAGCAGGCCAAGATGCCTGATCTTTTTAAAGAAGACATCCAAAAAGCAAGATTATACTGTCTTTGGCAGAAACAAAGCAATTAATGGCTCAAACTTGCTTAGCCAGTGAAAGATGTACTGTACAAGGGTCTACTAGCTAGGAACATCAAGAAATTGCATATCAATTTTTTGTAATTTGAAACGCTTTATGAAATTGTCAGTTTGAAGAATGTATACATGACTTGATTGATGGATAAAACCATTTTTTTCATTCATTTTCAAAACATTTTAAGATTTAAAGAAACTGTAAAGGGGATTCCATATGTCAGCATTTTTATAGTGATCAACAATTGAATTTTTCTAAGACTGTCGGCACATTTTGGTTGGGTTTTTAGCGCCACCCCTGATCCTATGGCAGCTGCAATTGCTAGAATTTTTTGTAAAATTAGGAGTGCGCTCTTACACATCTGAGTGATAAGCATTGTTTTGGCTTGGTTTTGGGTGTGGCTTAAATGCTCAGTTTTTTAAAGATAGAAAAATGATTTTCTAAATTTTTTGCAAAAGATATTGATAAAGGTGCGTCATTTTAAATCGGGTTATCCTCTTGAGATCAGGGCTGCCAAAAAAGTTTCTGAATACTAAGGCAAAACTGAAAGATGGGGCCCTGTGAGAAAAGAGGGCAGAATTCGTTTGTGATCACACTCTTAAGTTTAGCTTAAAATAAATTTCAAAATAATTCTTGTAGTCATTTTCTTGCAATCCTTTCAACCATTTACCATTTTTAGGCTCTTTTGAGGCCCCCTAGACCTAAAGACCTGGGGCAATGTGCCCCCTGTCCCCCTCTTCATTGACCATCTTGCAATTATCAATTAGGTTCATTATGTTTTTGACCTTTTTACAAAATCTTTCTCACATTATTCCTTTCCTTGCTAAACCAATAGGAATTTGAATAACAGCCATTGATGATAGTTATAGGGAAGATTTGTTTCAATTTTCAATCATTGGATTTCTCCGTGAAGGAAAATTTATAAAAACTGGATAAATGCTGAAGAAAAACATGGAAAACTCAAAAATTTAGTGCAAACTCTTGCACTGTCGGGTTGTACACTCCTCAGATCTTGTTGAAAACTGCCATAAGATCCAGACCAGGATCTCAGGGGTACAAGATATGCTATTTTCTCAACTGATCACTTATTCTTTCAGCAAAGTCTTGAATGTGTAACTTCTTTACTTTCCACTCACATAATATGTGATCTTTACTTAATTCTTTTTTCTAAGTTTTCTGCTCAGGGCTTGAGGGAGAAATTAACACTTTTCAGATTTCAGAGATTTGAAATCTTCATAAGGAAAATGAGTTCATAGATCAGGAAGAAACCAGACAATAAAACTGCAAGCATGATACAAAACTTACTACAAAAGTTGTGTCTGTTCCTTGAAAATCGTCGTCATTCACCAAAACAGTGAATTCGTCATCCACATTGGATCGTTTGCCACCAACATCTCGCCAACCATTTGGTGAACTTCTCTGAAATTCAGATTTTTCCATAATACACATGACACCTGTTTCCATTCGTGCAGCCATCCTGTTCTGAATGCTTGCAGAGCTGTTGAGGCATATGATAATAAATGAAATACCCGTCAGTTTGAATGATTAACAGAAATTTCTTTAATTAAACCGAATATTAAGTGGGTACATTTTTTTAATTTGTGCTCACAATGGCAATTGCCAGTAGAAGTGACACGGAATAAAACGAGTGACTTGAATGGATGTAGAATATGACCTGATTGTACAAAAAAACGAAAAAACAAAGATCTGTCCTGTGGACTAATTTCAAACATAATAAGGCCTACCGAGCAAAGTTTGAGCTGCCACTGCCGATTAGTTCAAATTGAATTTGGACAGGCCGACAGAATTAAATGATTAAATAATAAAGAATTAAATTATGACAGTAAAATTATTATGAGATTACCCCAAAAATAAGTTACATTAAGAATGTCAGCCAGTCAGGCTGCTCACCTGAACACCTTTCACTTTTCTCTTCCTAGTTTAGTTTGTCAGGGAGGCTCCTCCTCAGTTGATTGGAGCAGGGTTGGAATGTCAGAGGTCAGGTCAGTTCATACAGTAGAAACCTGCATAAAAGTATCTGTTTTTATAAGAACCTTGAGGCTAAAATTTTTATTTTTTAAACCCTATAATTAAGAACCCCTCAAGAGTCTGAAATTTGGAAAGGTTCTTATATATATATAAGAAGAATGGTTTTCAGAGTGGTATTTTTACACCCTATTCACACTGGCAAATGAAACCAGCTTAAAGGTAAACCAGATTTTGGTAGGTTGCATTCTATTTGGACAATCTAACAACACAAATTCGTTTGACTGCTTGAAATTTAACATAAAAAACAAAGCTGGTTTAGGTGTGTCTGTTAGAATTCTTGCGGTGGAAAACATTGTTTGTGTGTGCAAAGCCTGTACGTATATAAGAACCTTGTTGAAAACCTTTTAGACTGGAATCTAGAATAGCAGCCTGTTAATTAAGAACCTATTCAGGCTGCCAGAAAAAAACCTAGGTTCTTTTATGCGGGTTTCTACTGTATGGAATGGAGGGTTTCTCCAACTTTTTTGCGATTGAAAACACTTTCATAAGATCAGTTGGAATTTTATATCATGCATGGATACCTTCCAGCAATGTCCTCAATGTATTTACGGTGGAAAGGAGGAGACAAGCCCTTCGTTGTGGCTCCACTATAAGAAGTACGATACCCACGTAAATAGCCACTGAAATGACTAGTAATTTACGTAAAGGCAAGAACAACTGAACCAGGGGGTGGTGGAGATAGTGGCCTCCCTTGCCTTCGCGAAATTGTGCATTTTTCTTCGTTTTACTATCTTTTTGCATGGCACTTTGCCCCCGTTGCCCCCTTCGAGTGCAGGCTTCATTGCGTAAAGGTCGTTTCAAAATCATAGGATTACATCATAAAAGCACGCCGCCAAAATTTTACCCCCAAATTTACCCTGCCGAGAACAGGGAAGATTAGCCCCCTTCCAATTCCCCGTGGCACTTATATTGCAACAAACCCGTTTCAAAGGTTTTATTGTTGTACACTCATCTTATGTACGAAATTTGCATAGAAGAAGAGGTACCAAGGACGCCGAAACGACCAAGAGGCAAAGGGCATTTGAAAAATAATTCCCAGCTTCTAATTATTCTTTTGTAACTGTCATTTTATTTCGATTTCCTATATGCATCTACTCTTTGATTATTAGAAAAGGAAGATGTCAAGAGAGCTTTTACGGAAAAGGCACATTGCCCCACACCCTTGCATCCGCCAGCAAAGGTGTATTTCAGCTTTGTATATGAAGCAAATTCATATTCATCTGCATATGTATCAAAGCTGCTGCCTTTTAGATTTTTCTAGAATAAGCATATTTTCTGTCAGTTTAGAGATTCCAAATGTTCCAAAAGTCTTGTAATCCAGTTATGTCATTCTATTGCCTCCAACGAATTTGGATAGGTCTTAAAAAGTTGGTCCAGACTGCAAGGCAAGGGGACTCTGGGGGCTGAGCCCCTTGTTAATGCTAACTGAAAGCCCCCATATACTTTTACTATAGTTTTGTGCAAATTCCCGATACTGCGTTAACATGAAGCTGCGTTTGCACGTTTCAGGGCTATTGCACAAGCGCATTCTCACTTGAAGCCCTGGCTGGAAGTTCAAGGTTTATGTGGTCACTTGTTGGGGAGACGAGTCTAAATTCCTATTGTTTACGGCAAATGTAGTAAAGTTTTAGCAATCCATTTGTCTGAACCAATGAGAACGTGCATCATATGAGCATGCGCATTTAGGCGAAAAAGCAAAAGTTTGCATGTAATGGCGCTTCAATGATGATTAAATGAAATTTAATCCGAGTTAATTTCACGAAGAGCATTTGAGCATTAACTAAATAGCTTGAGATTGTTGTTATTACTTATTCGTTATGTTTTCTTGTGCCACGCTTCCTCGCGTTTTTCTTGTATCTGCTTTACCAGTTTATGGATAATGTCTTTCGGCCTTCAGTGAATTCGATTTGAAAAGACTAGGGTAAGATGTGTATTTCGCGGCTTTTTCATTCCCTTGGGTAATCTAGAGGTATTTAAGGTTTTGGCATAGCGTGGGTCTCACCTTGCTTGGTGAAGCCACTATACAACTAGGCTGTTTTATTGTATTTTCCCAGCCCTCCCTCCCTCATTTTGTTTCTTTATGCAAAATGCCTTTTCAGTATAGCTTTGCGTGTTGAGTTTCTTTCATGGCATCGTTAAATCTCTCATACCTTTAGGCATCTTTTATGCTTTTTAGCGTTTTCTGGTGCTATTAGGTAGGACTGGTGAATCGGCTATTAGTGGGGAAAAGAGGTTTTTCCTGTACATTCCCTCCCACTTATCAATCATATTTGGGGGGTTATTGTGTAACTTCCTTTAGTAACCCTTTTATGGTAGGTTGGGCGATTGGCGCTGATGCACTAACGGCCCAACTCGCTCTCGATGATGTGGGAACGTAGCCTCATGACTAACCTTCTGATATCTATGGCAGTTTTTCTGAGGGAGCTTTATGCCCTTTATATTGCATTGGTATTTCATTCCCGAGTAAGTAGATCAATAGTATCTAAGCAATATATCAGGGTTGCTAATATCAACCATAATTTCATTCTCGCTCTTTTCATTACACTCTTTTCTCTAAATTTTCTTCCTCTTTTGATTCGATTCAGGCTGATCCCTATAAGTTCCACGAATGTTCATATCACAGAATATATATCATACGGCGTGAATATGACAGACCTTGACTTTAACTGCGCGTGTGAATATGATGCAAAATTTTGAAAAGTTAACGGTCGTTCTCTTTCGTCTCTCTAACAATCAAAGACAGTGTGAATACTGTTCCTATTACGCATGTGCCATGACCCTGCAACACTGATTGGTTTAAGACGGTATTGTTTCGAAACAAAGGACCAAAGTTCGTCTCCCGATCCCGAACAAGTATCGGATTACTTTTCATTCGCCATTGGATATGTTGCCTGCAAGTGCAAAACTTTTCATTCGATTCGAGCACTGCTTTCTTCTCCAAGCCTTTCTTTTTCGATATTAGGTTACACATCGTGGTATTTTGTATAAGATAAGAATAACTTGCCAGAATTCTACAATTTACCAAAGAACAACACCCAACCATAAGCGAAAAACACCTTTGATAACAAACACGCCGCAATGTGATTTCGAAAAAAAAACTTGTCTAATTTAATTCCTACTAACTACTCAGACGTTTTTACTTTTTCTGTTAACTTGAGTAGAACGTTGGCGACCACAAAGGAAAATAGACCGCAAGTTCAGAATGTATCAATGACCCATAACACTATCAATTGTTACTTTACCTGGATAAAGGCCAATAGCGCGGACGTAGCGCCTAAATCTTCAAGAGATTAGAAGGGAGGGTTGTGTCTCAAGTTACGGGCCTATAACACAGGCAAGCTACGGAAAACTTGGCCAGAAGTAAGAAAGCATACGTTTTGTTTGTACTTGGTATAGATTGCCCACTTGTGACACGGAATTTTTGGTTTCTTGCAGTTTTGATTGGCGTGACCATCCATTCGATTCAAGTAAAGAACTGGAAGGAAACGTGTCTTTGAAACCAGTAACGGGAAACTGGCATATCATATTGGTAAAGAGAGCACTAAATAGCATATTGCAAAACATAGGACACCCTACGGTGGAGTCTGTGCACAGGATAGACACAAAGTAAAGTCTCTGTAAGCTAACTCTACCAAAGAGACGCTTTAACGCAACTTGTCGCCAAAGTAACACACCTAGAGGATAGTTCATTAGTCCAAATGGAAAACAACCCTGAAATGGCAACGCACGATAGCAGCCTGCGCTTCAGAAAGGCTACAGCATCTGATTTGGAGGGAATTGCATCTATATCTGTAGGAATTAATGAGAAATCAGATTCTCTTGTGTATCTTTTTCCTAAATGGCTAAACGATGAGAGATGGCATCTTTTTATTGCAGAAGACCCAAGTGGGAAGCTGGTTGGGTTTATATCAATGAATATCACTGACAATGGAAGAAGTGCCATCATTAGATCCTCTAGGGTTGACATCGCACATCGAGGAAGAGGAGTGTACAGAAGTTTGCTTGATTTTACATTGAAATCAATCAGAGAATTGCTTCCAAATCTAAGCAATATCTTGCGATACAGGCGCGGTAAAGCAGATAATTATGTATGTTTGGCAAAGGTTACCAAATTGTCATTGGCGTGTAATCTGACTACAAAGGAACAGTTAGTCAGCAAACTACAAGAAGGAGCACAATTCACAACATGGCAAGAGTTTCAGGATCTGTACAGCCAAAGCCAGTTGATAAGAAACATGTTTCCTTCTGACTACCTTCGAGTAAACGCTGAGTTGTTCAACCTAGCATAAGCATGAACTGGGAGTATCTGAAAACCAGGGATGATCTTTTACTTTTATTGACAAGAAAGCAAAATGTCATTGGGGACAAATTAGGAGCATTCTCAGTGTGGGAAACTGTCATTAGAACGACAAATCAAGGAGAAAAATACTTTGGTGTGGATATCTATGG